TAGTACATTTAATCACCACTCCCACTCCAAATTTTTTTATATTTTTATATGACTTTATTTTTATAATTAATTTAGGGTTGATGATCAAAAATTAATTATTCATATTTTAAAACATAAATACTAGATAACTGCTTATATTTTAATATTAAAAAATAAAATATACTACATTTAAGTCACATAAATAAGACAATTAAAATTAAAATTTATGTCAAATAATCATCTTGATTGATTTTGCATTAAGGATAGAGCTATGGAATCTCTAAGTGAAATCATGTTATGATCCTTCATTGTACTAACAAAGTTACTTTGAGAAATTCCTTGATCTATGCTCTCTTCTCCAGGCACTTCAGGTATATAATTTGGGTTCTGATCACACCTATCAAATTCTTTATCCCTGATTGCATGTTGCTTGATATAATTATGAAGTGCAATAGTTGCAACTATTATCTTCTTCTGTGTTGTAACTGAATAACTTCGCATGCTGAACAATATTTCAAACCTATTTTTCCAACACCCAATAGATCCTTCAATGACATTTTTAAGACAAGCATGAGCATGGTTGAATACTTCTTGATAATCGATTGGTTGGCTTCCACGTCTAGAATCAGGAATGTGATACCTTTCTCCTTTATAAGGTGCCAAATATCCATTTATATTAAGATAACTAGCATCAACAAGATAATATTTACCTAAAATATAAGAGAGAAGTCATTTATAATAAATACAAAAAATTTTCTTAAAACTTCATTAAGAATTGTGCTTAAAAACTATAACACAAAATAAATAGAAAATTATTACCATCAGGAGGATGAGGAAACATATCCTTATGATTTTCCAATGTATGGGTGAAAACACATGCATCATGAGTAGATCCAAGCCACCCTGTAACTACAAATGTAAATATCATGTCAAAATTACAAACTACAATCACATTTGGAGTGGGGATACCTTTGTGACCTATAAGTGGTATTAGGTCTTCTTCGAGGATTGTGGCTTTAACATGCGTACCATCAATTGCACCAATACATCCTTTAAAATGAGGCCAAAACCTACTATCTTGTTAAATCTTATTGGGAGTTTCGGTAAATTATAATCAAGTGGTTTCACAATGTCACTTGAAAACCTCACCAAATTTTCTACTTACTGTTTATCCTGAATGTTTAAAACAATTTTGCACATTTCAATTAGATTGATTATGTGCACATGTCCAAAGAAACATTGCAAGTGATTCTTCTGCACATATTTCTCTTGTTGATGTTAGGCCATAATTACTAACTAACAAAGAACATAATCTCGTAAAAACATGTGGTTCCATTCTAAATAATTTATAACTTTCACCTAGAGTTACCAATGTCTCTTGCACCCATTGCCAACCTGAAAGTCTTGAAACTCTGCTTTTTTGTTTGTTAAGATATTTTGAAGATATTGAAGCACCTAAGTGAACAAAAGAATAAAAGATATTATCTCTTTTTCGTCTACCTTCCACCTGCTTATCTCTTTGTTCTATAGCTTGTTCCTCCATCTCATCCTCATCACTATTTTCTTCCTCCACCTCACACTCATCACTATTTTCATAATTCCACCTTGGATCTAAATCCACCTACCAAGAAAAAGAAAAACATTAGGATTCACATATGAACACAAAAAACCAATCTAATTATTTTTACAACTAAATTAAAAATGTAAAAAAAATAAGATAACATACCTTTTTATCTTTCTCTTAAGTTGAACAATAAATGAACTCTTGAACTCTTGGACGAAAATTGAATTTGAGAGAAGTGCATGAGGGTGTTGTAATTTAAAAAGAGGGTTGTGTTTTTATGTATGTTTAGATTTTTTTCCACGTGATTGAGAAATCTTTTCTTAAGACAGACTTTCTTTTTTGATGTGATTGAAATACAACACTTGTGCAGTACATGCCTACTGTCCCAACGCATGCACTGAAATCAACTCTTGGGTAGTGAATGCCTACTATCCTTAGCTATTGAGATTCTGCATCACGGTTGTCCACATTGCTACTTTTGATATAAAAGGTAAAAAGGTTTACTAGCCCCTAAAATTCTTTGATTGTAATGATTTAACCAAAAACTTATTTTTATGTAAAATCTACACTTTAATTTTAAAACTTATGCAAATTGCCCCTTCCCTTTTAGATAATGTGGACACCATTAATTTTTAAATTATATGAATCATATTATTTTAACTTTTTATTAACTTTTACAAATTAACAAAAAAAAAAAACTGAATATTTCAAGATAAGCGATAATCTAAACATGGATTAATATGGAATCCTTATTTGAACTATAAATCACCAGTCCAATTTCTAAGCAACAACATTATGAAAAAGACATAAATTCATAACATTAGTCCACATACAACAAAAATACAAATAAAAAAGACAATAGTTTTGTATCTCAAATTCAAGCATTACGAATGTCTTAATACTAAAAACTCAAATACAAACATCCTAGTAATGCCTTTTACCACCGAATCTCTCCCTCTCCATCTCAAACCTTATCTTGTCCCTTTCTAACTCTTGCTGTAGCCAAGAAAGTTTTGAGTTAACTGATTTTATACTCCTAAACATATTTCTATATTCTTGTTTCACAAACAAACGAGTACCTAACATAAAAAGCTCATTACCATCTTCAACTCCAGGTAAAGTTAACAACATCTCCAAACATTCTTCAGTGCTATCAACATGTGCTTCATAATTCTTCTTTGATGAATCATTCAAAGTAGTTGTGGTATAACTTTCAACTGCATCACAAAGACGATTCAATTGTTTCTGCATGTATGCTGCACCCCCTAATTTCACTTTCTTCCCTTTGCCAGTAAGTGAAGTACCAATTGTGTTTTTTTTCCTTTTTTCACTTCTTCCACCAGTTTGTGTTGGGATGACATTCACCTCATAAGAATCACCACTTCCTTCTTCCAAATCAACAGCATCTTCAAACCCCGCATTCTGTTGTACTGGAGGAATAGGCCCAGCAGTTGGAGTCCATGCAGTTTCACCGGTGTCTACTATTTTGTCAAACATTTGCTGCAACTCCACTGTGTTTTCTAATCCATGATGCTCAAATTTACCATATTCTTTGTTCTCCCATAATAAATATAACATATTAGAAGTTTAAAGTTAAAATTAACAAAGTCACATGCAAAAAACTAAAAATCATTAACAATAAAAGAATACAACTAACTGCTTTCAATTCAGCCCATTGTTGAGGAGTAGCATCAATTGTGCCTTTTTCATGATTCCACCCTAGTCCTATTTCTCGCTTTAAGAGTTGATTCCATGAAACCCAATCACTTTTTAATGCATCCCACTGATTTCTTAGTTATTTATAAATATAATGCTTGTTTGTTCTTTCATTAAATTTTTTTTTCACATTTGTCCACCCTAATCTATTAAAAGTACTATTAGGACGATTACCGGCATTGACCTCTTCCACACATATCTCGTAGAAAATTTTTGTTATAAATGCATCCCACACTACCTTTGATCTTTTTTCAGCCATCTTATACATTGAAATAATTTTGGCCTTAACACAAGATCTACAAACACATAGAAACAAATGTTGAATAATGGAAGTATTGACACACATAATAACACCAAAAACAGAATGCTAAAACTAGGAAGAATTATAAAATAGTCTTTTATACGTGTAAATTAACCTAAAAATTAAATTTAGGTTTAATATCCTTTTTAGTCCCTCTACTATAGGAAAAAGCCTTTTTTTGGTCCCTATACCGAAAAAATCCCCCTTTTGGTCCTTACTGTTCACAAATCCAGCCCCTTTTTAGTCTTTCCGTAAATTTTGGCTTATGTGGCAGGTTAATTAACGAAAACACTCATTCTTTTTTTTTACTAAATTACATGAAAAATCCATGTGGTAAAAATTGATGACATGTTAAATTTTTTACCTTTAATTACTAATATACCCTCGTCTTCTTCCCCAGCTTCTCATTCCTTCAGCCTTTTTTTTTTCTTTTACCTCCATGTCACGCCCCAAAACAATATTTTCCCTCAAATAAGTCCCTTATTTAATGCTAAAATATCCCCAAAATTTTGGGATATTACATTCACCCCTCCTAAAAAGGAGTTTTGTCCCCAAAACTCAAATTTAGGATTGTCTAGACTGGTGAATGGCTTCACACAATCTAAGACAAAACAATGCCCCACCGACTTTCTATGATCAGAACATGATCTACTACGCTTTCGCTGCGCTACTCTAATATCAAACCACAACAAAAACAAGGAAATCAGTCTCACAATACACGGCTAACAAGTACAAAGATACAACAGTCGGACTCACTTTACGGGGACTAGGTACTCATCACTACTCTAACAAGCCAACAACAATCTCAATCTCCACCCTCCCCAATGGCCATTTGGGAAGCGAGAGATAACTTCACGCCTCAACACAAGTAACTAAACTCGAAGGTTATCGGCGTGATTATGTGGTGCCCTTGACTCAAATCAAGACCCGGCACTCATCAAACACAACCACATGGCAAGGAATCTAATGATGAGTCCAACTAAAAGATGGAACTCCATCCGAGATGAATAAACATCACTCGGATACCCAGAATCATGAACGGATGAATGCATGCATATGCATGTATGAATGAATGCCTTTATGCATGCATGTATGAATGCCCATGTGTGCATGCATGAATGCCCATGTATATGCTCATGTTTGTCCATGTTTGCATCCATGTTCGAATGCCCAGATGAATAGTCAAACAAACAGACCTAATGTGGAAGGCCTTATACATCCTTCCACAACCAAAACCAAGCATACTATCACAAGGGACCAAGTTTTCAACAAGGTCCTAATAGCATAGTGAGCAAGATTAATTTCAAAACTTCTCACTATCGGTAGATAACGGGTACTAACTAAATTACTATCACATCAAAGTGAATCAGAAAATTCAAGCAACACAAATCAGAATCGTCCCTTGTATAACCCCATCACTCGTCTCACCACGGTTCTAAATCCATTAACTAGCCAAGTTCAAAACATATCCTAGGTATTCACTTAAACCTAGGCTCTCACATCACAAAATCTTAATCAAACCCAAGCTCTGATACCACTAAATCTGTCACGCCCCAAAACAATATTTTCCCTCAAATAAGTCCCTTATTTAATGCTAAAATATCCCCAAAATTTTGGGATATTACACTCCAGGCGAACCCAAGAGCTTGGGTTCACGAGGAACCCAGCTCACGAGGTTCGTGAGGAACCCAGCTCGCCGGGTTTGCTCCTTCTATGAAATCTCCAAGGCTTTCCTAGCCACTATAGTTTTGTTTTTTTATCTTCTTTGTGAAATCAAGTTAAATGTAACAGATTCAGTGATATTTCTTCATCATTTCTGGAATTTCTTTTGATCTTCTATTTTTTTCTTTCTTTTTTTTCTTTTTTGTAGTTATATTGTGATTTCCAGTGATTGTGTTTTGCATTTGCAAATATGCGTTGGATGTGAATATAGAGAGAGCAAAAGATGTTCTAATGCACAAGAGATTACTGCATTTGGCTCATGATCCTGCCAATAGGCCTGCAATTGAAGTCCGTCTAGTGCAAGTAAGTTGATTACTTGATTCTATTCAATTATTGATAAGCATTATCTAGATTTTCAAGCAATTATGTTCTCGTTTTGTCATTTTAGTGCTACATTTGAATTGTTACTTGTTGTACCTATGATTTTGATGATTACAAAACACATTTGAGTGACTAATTGGTTTATTTAAGTGTGTAGTTAAGTTGCTAAAAGATTGTAAGTAAACTTGGATGGCACTAAAAATAGACCAAAAGGATTCAATGTGCAGAGAGCCGGCTCTAGTAAAGTGCAGCCGGCTCTGGTGAAATGGAATGCAGAAAGCCGGCTCTACAGGCAAAAATTTGAAGACCGTTGTTTGGCGCGCGCGGAGAAAAGGCGCAAAGCCGGTTCTGGCTTTGTAGTTGGCTGTGAGGATGCATTTAATGCACAACGATCGAGTCATTTGAAGATTATTAATGTATTTAAAGTCAGAGTTGCAAAGCCGGCTCAAAGTTTTGCAGCCGGCTCCCGAGAAAAACAGAATGGTCTGCAGACCCGGGTAGCCGGCTCTGGAAATGTAAGCCGGCTCTGCAGAGCCGGCTCTAATATGTTAAGCCGGCTCTCCTGACAATTCTGCAGCTCGAGCTTTGTGTCCTGCAAAGCATTTAATGACCCCCAAC